ATTACTTTTGACATGTCGACACGTCATCAAGTAAATAAAACGGTATCATTATGTGTTAATATATAAATCAAATAAACAAATCTAATATGAAATGTGTTGACATCTTGAAAAAGGATGTGGCAGTCTTTTAGTTAGTGTTCAGATATGGAAATTTTTCACTTCATTATTTTGGGCTAATAATTGGATCACGTCTGTTTGTTAATTTCATCCTCTAGTAGCCCTGTGGCTGATGAAATTCACTAGGTAGCTTTGAGGGAGATGAGCGGTTTTGATGGAGAAATACGTTTTGATTTTTAGCATGCCATCGATATATACAGACTATTCAGCTTTGTCAGCATCCGTTATGAAACTTTTTCGAATAAACAAGCTACAGAGCTTTCAATGACGGTTAGCTTGACAGTAAAATATTTCTGAAGCTCAACAGTAAAAAGGAACTCCTGGATTAAATAATATAATCATTATGTCGAAATGGTTCAAATCAAGAGGGTAGTTTGCGATTTGCATGCTCACTTTAGCAGAGGCTAATCAATAACAACAGTTGAATGTTATTACAGTTCTCTCATCTGCCTTCGATCCTCTGATAATTTTATTGGCATTTTAAACCACTACCGGTTTCCAAAGAGGTTAAGTGAATGAGAAAAATGTCATTAATCTATGTTGTTTCGTTAACTCGAATAGAATTGAAACGAGAATTTAGTGGACACGTTTTTCTGCACATTCATTCTTGCACGGTATTATTTGTTTTCGTAGCTAATATGAGTTAGTTAACCATTATAATAGAGAATATACTATTCACAGAAAGTATTGGAATATTTTCCTATGTTTCTAGTACTGCTGAACTGTGTTGAAAGAATGGGGTAAGTCTTACGAAAACAAATTCTGTAAATGTTTCACACAGTATATTACTCTGAAATGAAGGACTGTCTATCATAAACGCTCACAAATATAACATTGAGATGTATTCTAGAGTAGGTCTGGATACGAACTCCAACATCATTACCAGACAGAGAAAAAGAAGACTGTTCCACTTCACAGAAGCAGCATCAATTCAGCCAGTAAAACCTAATTCATATATCCAGAAAACGTTTTTGTTCTAACTTGTATCGTGTAAATGGTTTTACGCCTTATCATGACTTTAGTCATCGTTTAAATCTACATTTTTTCATACCCACAAACATTTTCCACAAATTGGCCTTGAACATATTGCATTCACGTTTCACTTCACGTTGATTTTGATGTTTGGCATAGTTTGGGATTCAACTGATTGAAAGAACGAAACTATTCCCAAAATAAGTAGAATGCCATCTTGCACACTTCATGTGAACGCAGTTTGACGACTCTGCCCATCCAGCTGTTGTATTAGGAATCTCTATTGCTGAAATCCTTGTTTCGATTTCTCGTGGATGAAAGCTCCACGACTAAACAACCCAGCCCAGCCCAGCCCAGAGAACACATTATAACCATGACCATCCACCTCGGCTACAAATATTCTCCATCATTTCAGAAGTAATGCGTTTATTTATTTTAATATTATTATTATTCCTCTTTGAACAACGCTGCATATAAATTTGATAATTCCATAGCAGTTCATAGACTCAGCTTGAACGAACCATTTCCACTTACACATACGCTGACATTTTCAACTTCGTAACAGTCAATAGTTTCGCTTTTAACATCTTTTGGCATTTACGAAGATCCCGTCAAACAAAACTGTTGAAGAAGCTATGGCTTACACAACGAAACACTCAGAGTTATTTTGTTTCGATTTTCTAATCATCCTAGGATAACTCTTAAATGCATTCTCATAGACATAAAGTACCACTGATTTCAAGCTAAATGTCTGCATAAGTTAGTTAAAACATCCAGCTTTTCAAGAGCACTAACTCCACATTTAGTCTTTCAGTTGTGATTGCGTTTAAAACAGCAATTTGGAACAAATGATGATTAATCAAATATATTCATCTCGCGATTAATTCACTTAACACCAATAACTTCCTTTTGAAAAAAATCTTCAAATTTGTTCTCATTTGTTTTCATTTACATACATCATTAGTGTTTGGACAGTTTATTCTACCCTTAACGTGGTATTCGTCCTGCGTTACATCACAGTTCACTGTACCGCCTTTTCTCGGACACGTCATATTGTTACCGCCAAAATATATCAGCAGCCGATTGCTTGTACATCCATGCTGCAAACATTTTGTAGTAGAATAATCCAGTGTGCATAAAATTTAGGAGATTGATAATCCCAAAGTTAGCGTATTATTCGAATATCGTCACGAGATAAATTGTGGCCATAATGGCGTCATTGATAAGTTGACAAGTAAATTTTAAATATTGGCGACCTCAACGTCAAATAAATTGCTACACTATCATTCTGAGTTTTCGTCATATATGTTTGGTACTCATCCTGCTAGTAAAACTACTGAAAACGAAATATACACTAACCATCGAAATATGCTTTTCTTATTTCTTTGTCTCACAAACTTATTAGTGATGCCTAACTTAAGGATATTCAGAAAAAGTCCTTAGCTTTTCATCTCCTAACTTCCTTCTAATGGATTTTTACATACACACTGTCATGTGTCCTTAATTCATATTTGACTTAAGCGACATCAGTGGATCAGATAGTCCAACATTCCAGATTCTGACTTCATTACGAGTGAACCAAATGCTCGAAGTATTGAAATTGCGACGAAAACGTTATTAAGTAATGCCTGTTTTGGTTCTTCTTCAAACTAGAATGTGAACTTGAGTGTATTGTGTTCTCTGAGCTGGGTTGTTTAATTGCGGGTCTTTCCTCAAGTTGCTAGACAACATCATCAGTACTTGCCTCAGTATGAAGAATGTGGTCTTAAAAAATGGCCATTTTAAACGAAACTTATTTTGATTTACTACCTGTTACAGTGTCACAAATTTTGCTCAGGACAATTGTCACCAGGAACTAACCAGAATCTCATTCATCGATAGTCACATTTCGCCGTGTCGGTGCTTTAACTGTGTCGATTGTTGCTACAACTTTTCACAGCATGTCAACCCTTATATTAGTTGTTGTAAACCCGCAGTCATAGTGAACGTGTTAAGTATTCTGTAACTGCCTGTTTACCTACACATCCTAAAATTCGAAAAAGTATTGCAAATATGGCACGCTAAAGTCTGAACCGCTAAGACACATAATCTACCACTTGTCTTTGTCTACTAGCAAAATTCCTTTCCCTGCGCCGACCCTACGAGCGGGTGTTTGTCTACTTATGCCTAGTCTCATGGAAATCGCTTCTAAATATATTCTTGCCAAAACTCGTAAATTACTCAAAAAAGGAGAGCATATGTGACTAAGTAAAATGCTTTCTCTTTATTTCACATAGCAATTTCATTACCACTGCCTTACTTTTCCACTGGCCAAACATCTCTCATTCTCCCTAAATTTTATCCGCATAGCTGCCACTAACTCTCTAGTCCCTCTATTTGCATTACGGTAATGTTAACCTTCTTTTGTATCCGAACTTTGCTAAGTTTGACGCAAAAGATTTGTAGACTCTCCTGAAAATACAAATTGGTAATCTTTTTGGCCTAGCTTTGCGAATCAGAATAAATCTAGGGTAACCAGTTTATTCGAAGGTAGATACAAGTCCGTGAGCAACCCCTGAAAACAATTTGAACAACACATCATTTCAGCAGGCTGAAAATGTTGTGGAGTACACCAACATCAGTCTGTTGATAATAGGTTGCACACCACAGAATGCAAAGAAAGTAGACCGTTAGTCCACTTCGTTTACACAGTTCAGTTGAATACGCTAAAATAAGGCTTTCACTCTAATCACGCTTAATTCAAAAATAAGCCTTCTGATACAAATTTCTTACATAGCAGACGGTTACGGAGCGTGGCTTACGTGAGGCAGTGGTGAGTAACTGTAGGCTCGTAATCTCCTAGCAACACAAACGCACCCAGTATACGTTTGTTTAGAGGTTAACAAAGAGCCTACTCCCCGGAAGGATGAACACTCTAGGTTGTGCAGTATTCTCATGTCTTATACGTACGAACAACTGCTGAGCACTTTAGCAACTTCTGAACATTCTCTGAAATTTAGCGTGAGTTTCGATGACAGGATGCACAATCGTAACACCTTGGTGGGTCTACCTAAACATCTGTTTAACTGAGTGTTTAATGCTTCACTTGGTAAACATCGAACGACGACCAAAGTAAATAGAAGAGATTGCAGTTCTCTTCAATGACTGCTTGTCCTAAAGTTACTAAGTATCATGCAAAGAAATATGTGCGTGAAGTAGGATTTCCAAATGATCATACCAATAAAACTACCAAGATATAAGCTATAAAAAGGGCTCGGTTATAATGATCAGAATGTAGTTATCAAAGATTAAGGTAGTAAAAATCATAATCCAAGAACATCTGTGCCATAAAAATTACCGGCATAATCCGCGGGCCAAAATATTCAAGCCCATCGAATACGACTTGCCTCACTTGCTGTTCTGTATTCTACAGGATGTTAGATTATTTTCTCAAACACCCTGCTGTCCAGAAGCTTCCTGTCATAAACCGAAACAAATTTCAGTCACTTATTGTTCATCGACGTTTCGTCAATACTTTTGGAGTAAGTACTGTCTCTCTGGAACAGTTTACTGTGTATACACTGCCGAAATATCTTACCCGTTCCGCCTCTGGAACAACACAGGTATGTGTAGAAGGAATTAGTTTCAACAAGAGGAGACAAAGAAAATTGTGTACACGGATTTCTATTGCAGATGCTTAGGTGGCACAACAACATGTGGTTGTTTTCGTAGTTTTTATGGTCACTGGAGGGTGTAAATAAGCCACTTACATCTGCTTTTAGATTTGAAACGCATTCACATGTCCTCATTTAACCTATACTTCAACAACGCCTTGATAACACTTATCGCCAGAAGAGCTATTATCACTTTCAATTGCCGGAGTATCGCTTTGACCTCACCAAGTATTCACCTGTTACATAGTATTGACCAGATCATCCAATCTTCTGCAGGTCTTTTAATTTCTCTTGCATTTTGGCAAGCGTTTTGTAAAATGCTGGTTCTTCTAACAAATCGACTGTGTATTGATTGACAAACTCTGTTATAGAAGTCTGTCGGAACAACAAGATGAATAATCCCAGAATAAATAACATTTTTTGATTGGAATTATCACGGTAAGAGTGAACTGCAGGTAAATTTCAAGAGCATTTTAAGGGTAGAATCAGTATTCACAAAACACCACAGATCCCCATATATGCCACATTGTTAGTGAGGAAACATTTTAAATCCCGTTCCAGCTCCCTTGAGGTCATCAGTAGATATTCATACTAAAGTTTACAGCGACATCCTTTTTATTCTCCCTATAAGACCGCTGAGGCAACCGCTAGGGAAAGAGCAGCAAGCGTCCCGATACACCTGTCATCTGTAGCCGAACCTGATATATTTGAAAATATTGATGATTCTGTAAGTAAATTTAAATATGATTAGTTATTCCATCTTATGCTTGTTATATAGCCTTATCGACATGAGTTGCAGTCGTACCGGATCTTTCGCGTTCGATAATGTGATGAAACTCCTGTTTTGAAAGCACAAAAGTCCCATGGGAAATTCTCGTGATTTTCGATGACACAATGAATACACTGACTCAAAGTTTTAATGAACCATCATTCTTATTATTGTTATTATTGTTCCTGATATTTTCAACTATCCGATCATAGTTTCATGAACCTGTGATATTCTGGCAAATTGAATCATGTGTGAAAGATTCACATCTCGATAAATGAAATCTGATCATTTTTATTGGATGAAATGGCCGCAGTAAGGTTTTTCGTACTAGAAAATCAGGTTAATTGAGATGCAAACTTTTACAGTCTATTCAATCTATACATTCCGCTATCACGCTTGGTGCTACATAAGGATTCGAACAACTAACTACCATTGCTAAATGTTGAGTTAGTAGAAGCATTGCAATAAAATTGGAAACACAATTATACAGGAACTCAACGCACACTAATCAAGTCCCTTGAATACACTAGCACCAAACGAACATCCAGACTTTATTCAAAAGAGGGAGGATACAATGCAGTACAATTTTACGCAAAGGCTAAAAAAATTACGTGTTTTCTATCCTAAAGAAGAAAGGCTTCCGACAATACTTCGTAAAAAGATGCCTATCCCATGCAACATGAACTACAAAATTATCCACAGAGGTCAAAGAACGGGTTATCCTACCGTATATTAGTGAATATATCACGAGTCGCAACTCGATTACTGGGACCACCAAGCATTGCTATCGCTCATTAACCAACAAAATTCGTCTCAAACCATATTACGCAGACCAAAAGACACAACAGCCATAGAAGACAAAACAAATATCACTCGCGAAATCAGTATGAGTCCAGATACTATTGTGTCCTCTAAGCTAGGAAGTTTAATAGAGGAGCTTCTATTGACTTTCTGTACAAAATCACAAGCACTGACTTCCATATCAAGTGAGCTGCCAATATCTCTCCGTGAGCGTCTCAGCAGGTTTTCATTTGTGAAGTAGTTTGCGATAGGTCATGATTTATAGTTGTTTTGCAGTTCTTTTATAGACAGAGATAGTAATCTTTACGGTTCGTTGGCAGACGAAATTACCCAGACTTTATTGAAGTGTGTTCATAGAATCACTTTAATCCCTTTTAATTAATATATTGAATTAAAAATCCTCATTAGGACATAAAACAAAGAGTTCAGCAAAGCGAGCTACCCTTTGAGATAATTTCACTTTCAAAGAGATATAATCGTATTTATATTTGTCAGTTTCGACCCTAACTTAAATATAAATATTATTGTAGAGCTTTTGAAAATGAAAATGTGGCAAAGAGAAACTTTCTTCACGGAAATCTTTGTTTCATTTAATTAACTTTATCCACTTTCACTTGTAATCTGATTAATAACATTAGTGTAAATTAATGTAAATGAGATGGACAATAAATAAACAAATAAGTAATCTTTATCAGAAAAGTTCTGAATTTCTGCTAGTCTTTTTGTCCATTATTACACTAGTTCGAGGTAGGATGAATGGTTTGAATTTGTTTCCCATTTTGTCACTTTTAATTATGCCACGTTGTGACTCGAGTTAAAATTAATCGCTTTTTGTTCATATGATGACTTCATTATTCTGTTGTGCATAAGAGTACCAACTGCCCTAGTTGTCATAACATCATCCACGTTTCATAACTAATCGAGGGGTCAACTCAATGTCGTCAGCTGTGTGCTTCACCAAACATGAACAGTGCGAAACTGCTTTCAAAACTTCAGAAAAATGAACAACAGGGTTCGACAATTCTGCCTACTGATTGACAAAACCACACTTCATTGATTCAAAGATCAGTCCTATAACAGATTATGTGCTGGTTTTTCCACAAAAGGGAAAAACGTTTCTTGTATCTGACAAAAGAAATGGATTTTAAATGCCTGTTCAAATTCCGAAAGCTTTTATTCTCAGTACGGTAAGGCTAAAGAAACGAATCAGATATCACGTTGTGAAAGACAAATATGAGGTAGCAGGGAAATGAAAGTGATTTTACTGTTAACCAGTGCATACTCACTAGTGAAAACAGCTTGCAAGTTTTTGGATTTGGTTGAATTTACGTTGAAGTGTTGTTGTAAGGCACCCAATTTATCATGATATCATGACGCTTAGTTGTGTAATTGACGTATACCTCAAACGGGTTCTGAGGTAGCTCCGTTTAAGTTGCCTGTTGACCTTCTGTTCCTTCACTAGTTCCAATTCAAGGCGAATTACTTTTATGTAGTCCACTGTAACTGCCACTACATGTCTAATTATCCTAAACATTAATTATGAACAACAAGGTTATTTAGGATATAAGCCTCAAATCCAACTTATTGTCTTCATATGAAACCAACAATGCAAGTGACCAACAAAACCTACATCATACTGCAATGAATTTCTGAAGTGTGTTCAGATGAAAGTCATGTGTAAAGATGAAAACAAATGACTTTTGAACCAGCAAGCCAATTTACATAGATTCGACATACCTGAAGGTATGGACAATAATCCATCAGATCCCATCCTCCGTAGAACTCCCTCTGGTTTGAAGAGACGTTAAACATATCATCCATGTACTGGTATTCATGAGGTAGATTTTGATTGTATTTGTACAGCGAACAAAATCCATATGCATTTTCATAATTTGTGCAACGTTTTACATTTGGAGTGTCACAGAAAGGTTGGATATCCTTTTTTCTACAAAGAGAATGAGTAGTATTTTCTGAAGAAATGGTTAGAATCGATTCATGAGAAAATTGCGGTAGGTGTAAAGGTAGTTTCTCAATCAAACCTAAAAAACCTGAAAATTGACTGTCACTAGTACACAGAGTCTGATACATATTTAAGGGTATATTTTCAGTGCAAAACAACCGGCTTATTTATAAAATGTATCTGAAACATTAAAGATCACGTCATTCTGCAGAAAACGTTGCCGAATACACAGTAAGATGTTCCGAAAAATCTTGTGTCGATTTTATAAACACCCTAGGATTGCATTAAAACTTACATAGTCATGTTATTTATATTGAAGATTACTTAATTATAACATCAATTTGCAGCTCACCTTGATTTTTGTATCTTTATGTATTCATAACAGCTTTTCATTAAAAAATCACATCCTAAATCCTTTCCCCATTTGAAATCATCAGCCATAGAGTAGTCGACATCATACATGCTATAAAGGATGCAATGGTGGGTAGATTTGTTAGGTAACCTAAGTTATAATTATAGTTTATGTTCACTATCTCACATTGTTGATGTATTTAATGAAGAAAGTGAAATAACAAGCCACTGGGTTTTAAAAATACCATGAAACAGGCAAATGCCAAACAGAATTTCCAAATGCAAACTTAAGCCATCATTCATCTCAAATAACTTTTAGAGGAGTTAACGCCTTTTAGATCGAGACTAAAACAGTGGTCTGTTTAGCCTTTTCACATTTTAAAGTTATGTGGGTGGTAGATGAAATGAATTTAGATTTCTGGATAAGTAAATCAGTCTGGTTCTCCTCATTGACTATGCATTGACGGATTGTGGTAAATGACAACGAGCAGGCTGATGAGGAGATTTCAGTGGAGAATCCTAATGGTATTTCTGCTTCCAATCCTTTTCCTTTGCCTTCTGTTACTACTCTCATACTGTTTTTTCCAATTTCATGATACTTTTAATTCTTATTATTTCGCTTGTTCGTTTTACTCCGTCATGCCGTAGTTTCCTCTAAAAGTGTGTCTTCCTTTAGAAACTCATCACGTTTCCTTTTCTTCAGTTTGTTTCACACGTCATCCTACCAACCTTTTGAATCCTCGTTTGCCTTTTAACCTCTCGTCTCCTCTAAGTATCCATTCCTACTTCGTTTTAAGCCTAACTTTTGAGTAACCACTTCAAAGAATCTCGAGTTGCTTACCTCCTACCCTTCGTTTAGTGATTTGTCATTCGTTTATTTAACAAATGAATTAATTTTCATTGTTTGTGTGTTTGATGCTGCTGCATGCCCATTCGCTCCCAGTGATTTGAATTCTATGCTGGTTAGTGTAACCTTGGAGAGTAGCGCCAAATGTGTATACTGAGCTGGTGTTTAAAACTCCTGATTTTACACATCACTAGCAAACATTTTAAAATCTATATCAACTGTCGGTGCACAAATCAAACCAGGAAGTGAGTCAGGACCTTTCGACTACATATATTTGAATATAGAACAGTCTCCTCAACTTATTTACGAGAAAATGAAAGCAAACTTGATTGGTTGTTGTCTTCACTTCTAAATAAGTTTTCGTTTCATCTAGCTCTTTCGTACTTTTCTTCATTGCCAGTGGATAATCACAGTTGTCAGTAAACACTGCCTCCTAAATAACCTTGGGTTTAACAAACTATTTAAAATCCTTATTATTCGAAGTCAAACCAACCCCAAGAAATGACGATTTTTGGTTGTCGGTGCATTGAGAATTGCTTCACGTAATAGCAAGCTGTTATAACTAACTTACAACTATCCATATCACTTACACTTCTGTCTCTGGAAAAATCTGAATCGGTGATCACTAATAATCAAGTTTACTGCTGCTAGTGTTCCGAACACTCACTTAATTTATGTTTTAAGCTTATTACAACAAGTCGAAATCATATTTGGAAAATGAGTGATTGTACAGATCAACTTGCTTTAATACAGAACTTACTTAGTATCCTTGAGATAAGCTAGGGTTATTCTAGATATCCGGGTTGCCATCAGTTTGCTGCTTGTCATCAAATCATTCTAAGAAGTGAAATATTAAGTGTCAGTCATGAAAAACCATTCACAAAAGCATCAACAACAAATAAATCAGGGTGGTTGTTTGACAGTTTCAGCTTTCGACAAAAGCATGAATTTTGAAGCCTATTTTCGTGTGGGACGGTATTTAAGCAATAGGATGCTAGCCTACATTATAATGCTTGACAAATTCCGACACAAGATTGTTACATTTGATTATGGCGAAACTTTTCAACAAAACGACATGAACACTAAAGAAATATACTACACTTGAGAAATTTCAAAGCTAAAATATTGTTAAATTGAATACAATATTTCAAATGTGTGTATGATTCCTGGAACAGAGCAGGAGACGTGAAAGACTAACCTAAATTGAATGCGTTACAGATTTTGATGACAAAATCCCTAATTATTCAATAGCTCAGGTACTGTGATAAAATGTTCAGCCTCATAGTTCGGGTTTACTTTCATTCGTATTTCGTATCAGTTAGTTATTCAAAGTATGAGGTAAATTCGTATTCGATAACTTAAAATTTATTTTCTTAGCCATATTATAATTATTTTTTGCTAAGCACTCCATTCTGTTGGCTTGAGTTCATTTGCTATTCGTCCACATAACTGGCATCTTAGTTAATAACACATGTGGTAAGTAGCGAAGGCATAGTTTTGGTAGACTTTGAGTCCCATTCGACATAAAAGCACGCCTGTGTAACTGCAAACCTTCCTCATTTTCTACGAAAATTAATTTCACGTTTCTCAACAGTTGTTAAAGGACAATCACATGGTTGAATTTCGATATACAGTGGTAACATTGCCAAAAGTTGTTCCTTCTCACTATCTGATTCATTCCTCTTCTCATGAGAATGAATACAACTAGATGATTTCTAAGGGAAAATGTGTCTACTTTTCAGAGTTTTGTGGTGGGCAGCTAGCACAACCTATCGCTGACGAAGTTGAACACGAAACATAAAATTTCGGAATTAGTTAAAGATAATTATAAAAAATTGTGGTTTTCAACTTTCGAAGTAGTCAGATGCACTGCCACAAGTCTCCTAGTAGTCTGCAAGATAAAGTTTCAGTTTATGAAAACTAGCAAGAGTTACTTAAAAGGTGGCAGGAATATTTGTCATTAGGAAGTTCCTTATGTTCCCATCAGATAACAAGTGGTTCATGGCAATTAAACTAACCATTCTCAACAAAATTCGGAAGCAGGTTATAACATATTTTGAACAAGGTGATAAGAAATCTCTTTATCTGTTTATATGTTTACATTATTATTTGTACGTAATTCAGCCAGTACCAGGTTGCCCAAGCTCTGTTACTCACAAGCAATGCTTGCACACAATTCAATTTATACAATGTTTGACATGATTTCTCCTGAATTACAGGCCACGTAAGACCTCTTTGTAATCACACCAACACAAATACTTGTAGGCTTTTTGATTAATAAATATCTTGACTGTGTCAGGTGTTGTGATACTTCGTGTAACACAAACCAGTGACAGTAGTAAGCTGAACTGGAAAAAAATAACTATCACTGAACAGGTGTAGATTACTGGATAAGCCTAATAAGGGGATTATTAATTATGTGTACAACAGCGGCTTAAATTTCACTCACAGCAGTACACTATGAACATACGTAATGGTTTACCAATAGAAGTTCCGAATTGTGATCGTCCGAGAATAATGTATGTTCATCTACATTAGGAAACTGTCTCTGTGACGTTTGAAAATTGCCAAGAAAAGTATGTATTATGAAAGTATATATCTTGCAAGTTGCACACATTTATTAAACATTTAAACAACTTCAACCATTAACAGTCACAAATACCATTATTAGCCGATTTATGGTGAGTCTTCACTTTTTGCGGTAAAAGAATTGTCGGTCACCGAAAGTAAATCTGAATTTCGATTTTGTATTTTGTCACTTATTTACTTAGCATAACTGACTATCAAACCAGACTGGACTGTTGAGAAATGTCTCTAAACTATGGAATCTAGTTCTCACATGCCATGTGACCAACGAGTTACAGAGTAGAATGGCATTGACATGCTTGGCATTGCTAAGAGGTGAAAGCGAACTTACTCCAAGTATCCTATGACTAAAATGGCCATTCTGTAATTCAATTCCATCTATTTCGTTGCAACCAAAGTGTTTCTTTGCTTCCTCCTAAAATCAAGGTAGAAAATGTGAGACTTATGAAAATGCTGAATGTTGGTGGATACTAGTTACCTGAAAATGGTGTCCCACAGGAAGATGCTTACACTGCCCAAAATTAATTGTTTACCCATCTGTTTGTTGGTGTAGAACGCAAACGAATAGTTTGTAGACAATATAGTGGGATATTTGACGTAAGCCAACACAAATCTTGCTTTATAGAGTCTCATGAAGCACAAAGTAACGGCAATATTTCTCACCATCATTTCACACCCCGTGTTTGCGGGTATTAAATCGATCAGAATTATTAAGGCGATTTCCAAGGGGAGGTCTTAGTTTAAAACAACTTAAGATGTGGCTGCTGGGAACTACTCGAAATACTCAATAGTCTTGGTTTCAATGCTGCTCTGGCACTAATATGGAATCGTGTGGATTTGAATTTAGCAAACGAATGATGATGCAAGATTTGCTGTGCGAAATACTTGTAACGAACAAGTATGACTAAGAAAGTGATACTTTTTGACAATTTATGATACAAAGCAGTTATAGGAGTGGAAACAGATATCAGTGACTGCAAATGAGACATGAGGAACCATAACCAGTAAAAGTACGTGCAAGGGTTATGCACAGTTCTAGGCCTTGCAGTAAACAATTAGATACATTGCAAACTTGTCATCTCTCTGAATAAAACCTACGTTGGATTTTCATGTGGTAGAAACGTGGTCTATAAGTCATGACTATGAGTCTGACTGTGGTTATCTTCTCTACGAATTTCCTTGTAAGTAAAACAATTACGCACTTACATACATTGAGAAAAATAATTTATGCTAAAATTCCGTACAACTGAAGGAAGGTGCGATATTCAAAGTGTGTAAGCGATTACCGAAATGCTTTACGGAATTTAATTGTAATCTACTTTCACAGCAGTGATCATTGATTGTTCACTCTAACCACAACATTTCACAGTACACTTTTTCAATGAAAAGCCTTTTAGATGATATTTAAGGCATACTAGTCGTATGCTAGTTCGTCATGTAGGTAACCTCTTCACCGAGTAGGTATACATGACTGCTGATAAAATTAAAAGGTATGCAGTTGCTTGATAAATGTTTGTCAACTGTAACAACTGTTTTTAACCCCTTTCACCACTGGTCAAAAGATATAATTTCCTATTCAGTGTTAGAAATGTTACTTCCTCTCAGAACCGTTACATCTAAGACAGTTTATAGCCTTCTGAACCATTAGGTAATTGTTCATACTGGAGCTAACTTTCGCTTCGGTTCACAGTGATTACAGACAGAACGTTCGTTAGCAAAGAATACTGAGTGCTTGTAACTCCTACAGAATGACGTCATTCTCCAATGACATCATAACTATTCAGAATATTTTAAATCACAGTTTGAGAATCTACAATACGTTTAGCATTAAATAACAAAAGCCAACCAAATATTTTCATCTGGCAGGCATAAATCCCCTACAAGATAATCTAGATAGTTCTAAATGAATCAGAAAGGAAATAATAGTACGCAACGCATTACTCAACTTTAACTAGTCTGGATATCACAATTATGCCTTTACATACCATTTGAAATTAGTTGCCTCCAAAAATGCTAAACTATCGGCTCAACTGAGAAATATTTCCCCTTCGTGTGAAAATAAAAATGGATGAATAGTTATATATGATATATGACTTTCGATATAGTCCCAAGGGGTAATGCAGCACAAAACAAGTAGTTATAATTAGCAAAGCACTCATGTTGTTCCCCCAGCCTTTCAAATCACTACAGTTCATGATATTCTGAGAAAGAAAGCCATTTTAGGTTCACATCAAAGTCTAGAATTTATTGCTATTTTAGTGACAACTACTTACCTAAGTGCATGAATGCAGTATATATATATATATATATATATATATATATATATATATATATATATATAGAGAGAGAGAGAGAGAGAGAGAGAGACATCAAAACTGATAACGATCGACTGGTTGGAATACGAGCAAACTGGATAGAAATATTAGTGGCAAGAACACTATAGAGTGAGATACGGAATCAGAGATTGTTTTCAAATGGTAAGTTTATTGTAATGTTCATTATTCAACCATTGGAGTTTGTATTTTTTTCTCAATAAATAGTATCCACTGCTCCATTGGATCTTTTTTCACCTAATCTATTATTATGATGGCATATTTAGATAAAATTCTCACTACAGGACAAAAGATATCTTGTATCATTTCCTTTCTGACAGCAAAAGTGCCTCAGTTGTCTCAAATGCTTTCTTGTCTATTCTTCTGATGCTTGAAAATTGTAAGTATTTATAAGCAATACTCTGACTCGCAAAAATGCACATAAAACTTACGATCACGTTTGGCAACCTGATTATTAGTTTCCGTAAAGTATAATTCCCTCTGGCTGATAAAACATTTCGTGTCACATTTTGAACTGGTCTGGGACTTTAAGCAAAGGGAAAATAATACCATTTGGTTACCATTACTGTAGTATAATTGCTGTACATCAGTTGCATACATCTGGATGAAAAACAACAGCTTTATCAGTAGATTTAACACCGAATAAATTACTGATCAAGACAGGACTGGAAAAACCGATACAATTGTTCACTCAAAGGATCTTGCATCACAGTTTCAGTGTGTTTCGTCGAACACAAAGGTTCGACAATATATTCTACTTTGCAGTTGATGAAAGGAAAAATACACTCAATGATCCTTGGAAGCTGGCCCTCTACACGTCGTTTAGTCTAAGTGCTGACCAAATTCTATCGACTAAATTTATTATTTGATTATCAAGCTAGGAGACCAGTGTGTTGCAGTTTGATGGACAACAGTGTAGAATGACACATACCTGGATCTCTGAAAAGGCATCAGTTCTCTTGAGGTCACAGATTTGAATTATTGATGCAAACTATCAGGAAAAATAATAAATTCAGCTCCTCTACCTTTCACTTTCAACCACTTATTAATCTTTGTTCAACTTTATTTCTCAAGTTCATACCACAGCATGTGGCGTCTATGTGGTTCCTACAATCGTATTTATTGTTGAGAGTTTAGTTAAGGAAGTGATCTTTCCTTTTTATCGCAGTCTTTGCCATATGAGAGGTATAAACCATTATTTTTGGTTTGTTGTATTTATATCCACAAGCCATAGTAATGAGTGCTGCTTTTCAGTAATAATTATACCATAGGTTAAGTTTGCTGCTCCAAGCAATATCCCTTCAACGCACATATTCATAGAGAGCTTAGACGAAATGCAACATTGAACGCCTGTTTCCATTTAGAATTTGATATACCTTTTGATTTTTCGAAGTTCGCATACGAATCGCTCTTTCCATTTAGTATCTTACACCATAACAATAATTTGCACAAGTAAACAAACACGATTATTGAAACTTATAAGTGGACAACATATTTAGAAAGAACCACGAATCAAACCAAATATGGACTGACAATTTTCAAAGAACATTAATGTGAATACTAACTTATTATTGGATAGCCTGAATTCCGGTTTCAAATCTGGTAGCTTGTAGTAGAATGTGGGAGCAAATCCCTAGGAAACAAAATGCAAACACAGTAACTACTTGTTCTTCTAGATTGTCAGCATTCATCAACAATTTGGTTTTGCAAAGTATTCATTTCACTAGTTTTACTGATAAGATATCAAGAGCATGAGACAAGAATTTGAAAATAAAGCAGTTTACGATGTCGTGTATGTTTATTCTCAGAAAGTATTCCAACACTTTTATTCTGATAAGTTTACAGAATGATTCTAAATATGAGTGAGAGAGCCGGTGGCATACTTCAGGGTGTGAACGAAAATGATAAAATGTGTTTGAACATATTGGTTCACAGCAAATCACACAAATAAGCTCTCCAATAATCGTAAAGTTAACTTTTTAAAAAGTCATTTGAAAGTCATTTCAGTCGAAACAAGCACTTCAATAGAATGATTATATTCCCATAGCTGAGATTTATACACTGCATAGGCTGATTGTATCTACGTGCACAGGTGAAGCTGTGGAATTTCCGCTGACACAAAATAGATTATTTGTTAACTTACAAGCAAATGTACTATTTCATGCATTGTAACAGAAACGAGTTCTTCATTTTCTGCAGTTTGAAAATAACGATGGTGTGAGCAGAAGTTCAGTCTGCCGATGAATGGTCTGTAAACATGTTGGAAGAAACATCTCTTCATAATCCACCTGTCTGCCAGTTAGGTCAAACATAGTATTCCAAAAACGTATAGCTAAATTAAGACGGTCTTTTTATTGTATAAAATGTAAAATCTGTTGTATATGGTAATCTCTAATCCTAAGCATCAAATTGAGAAGGTTTGTCCTAATACACATTGTACATTTAAACTGATTGACCTTGCTTTGAGTAGAGGGTATATCCAGAAAAAATTGTGCAAACTGTTATTGAAAAAAGATTTTGAATTATAAGGTGAACTTTTTCTGTTGTCACCTCATTTGGAGAGACACTGGTTACTGGAGGATAGAAGAAAGTTTATTTATTCACTTTTAGATCACCCTAGAAACACACTACGATTCTGGGTGCATTGGTGAGTAACTACTCTCTGTGTCGACTCGTTGCGTCCAATGAAGGTAATGAATTTTCATGAGAGCTTTGGGAAATCCGCCTCAAAGCAATTCGCTTGTCAGTACCATGACAATATTTACCGTGAATTGACAAAATTAGGAAACAGTGAACCACTTGGTTCCAACGTTTTGTCCGAACAGCACCGTGTTGAAGGTGATAAGTGGCTGTCTTGAACTTGATCCCAAGTGGAGTCATATGTGTGCACTAATGAGTTAACACAAGCTAAAACGAAGCAGTCGTCTACCACTACCAGGTTTCCAATGGTTCTCCAGTTCATGTCACTCCATGATAAAATCCACTCTCAGATTCACTTTCTGTCTATTCTCTATATCAATGTGCTCTTATCATACGAACAGGGCATATAACCTGTATAATGTTATCCGTATATCAAAACGAT